ACAGCAAAGGGGACGCGGGGAACGGGAGGGGCAGAGGGATCGGGGGCTAGTGGCAGTGCAGGGAATGGGCAGCACAGAGCTGGGGGGCAGGGTACGGGGTGCAAGGTCAGCACAGAGCCAGAGTCACAGGGAAGAGGGAGAGCAGGGATCCAGGGTTCACGGTATGGGGCGCAGGGGCGGCATGGGGGAACAGGCGGCCCAGAGACAAGAGCAGTTGCAGCAAGCCGGGCGGTCAACAGAGAGCGGTCTCTCGCTGGCGTGGGGGCTGGGACCATGGCAGGACTGGAGCCGGCCAGGCTGGGCCATGCCACACGCCGCAGCCAGCTCCCGGGGACACGTGGCCAGAGCCAAGCTGCCGCGGCCCTTTAAAATTGTCTGCCGGCGCCCCGCCTCCTTGTGCCGCAGCTGCACGCGGGTAGCCCGGCATTGAGAATTGCCGTAGTTCCCCCTCCCCAGCAGTGCTCTGCTCCTCCGCTGACCAGCGGATTGGATGGGGCCGTGCCGCCCAAAGTGCGGGCTTCGACCAGCCTGTTACAGCGGCCCACCGGGCCAGTCCTCCCCTGCACTCGCCAGCTGGCAAAATCTACTCGCCGTGAGCGAGCGGGCAAGTGTATTTGTCGAGCCCTGTTAATTTTTAACAACAAATACATTTGCTGATTCATGCAAATCCTCAGATATCCTCTTTATATCCTCAGATATCTGCATCCATGGACCGTTTTTGTGGATTGAATGCTGATACAAATTTTGAATCCATGCAGGGTAATATGCCAGTGTTCTCTGTAAGCTGTGTGTCTGTGTGGCCACTCAGGGAAGAATTCAAATGCCTTCCAGATGATTAGCACAGTGCCCACAGCTAAGTTTTGGGTTTATATTTGTGGTGCACGTTCACACTTATTTCGGTGCACATTAAAATATTCCACAAATGCATGGAAAAAATCCACACATGGATGCAAAGGATTAAAGGGAACATTGCACTATTCATTTCGGAAAACAATACCTGCTTCCTGTTAAATGCATAAGTAGATTTTTTTTTAAAAGGAAATTAATTGAATAAATTATACACTGCCAGGGGTGGCCCTAGACTAGCTGCCAACAACTGGCGCCTTAGGCGAGCCATGCAATCGGTGCCCCCACCTCCAAACACCTCAATGATATTGTGCCATTTGGCGCCCCACTTAACTTGGTGCCCTAGGTGACTCCTTAGTTCACCTATATGAAACAGCTGATACTACTTGTCAAGCAGATTCACTCTGGTCCCAGCTGAGCTGCAGAACTGTAATATGGGAATGCTGTTTCAGTAAAGAAATTGTGGAAATCTGCTAGAACTTTCCTAGGAGGAGATAAATGCAAGTGAGGCCTTTTCCAAAACCTACTGAGGTCAATAGGAATCTGTCAGTTGACCTCAGTGGACTTTGAATTAGGCCCTTCATAAATATTTGGGAAATACAACATATCTGCATTTTTACAAAGAGCATAACATGTATTCGGCATGGATGAACTGATCATACTGAAAGAAGAACAAGTGGCTTGTGTATTAATCTGTGATTATCTCAACTATAAGAATTGAATTTGATAGTAAATGCCAGCCACACTGCATGGCATTCCCAGTTTCAAATCTGGTCACATGAGTTCGATCCTACTAAGGTTGTGTTGTGTGGTTAACTGTATGCCTATTCTGGCTCTTTCTGTCTAGAGTGTTTCTTACACACAGTTTCTATTTCCAACCAATGCCTTGGGAACACGGAGAAATACAATTGACTCCACCTCCTCCTTCTCCCAATTTCGCAATGCAAGCCATCGTAGCCTTTCCTTGGCAAGAGCTAACAGCACCCAGGGCAGCATTGACACAGGTAACTTAGTGGGAGTTATTTATTTTCATATTCCTCCTCATACTTGCTATTGGATTTTTTTTCACAAGATTGTTTGCTGGGGAGAATCTTTTCTAATGAAGCAAAGTTCAGTCTCCAAACATGGTAGCAGGTGATATAGTTTACGGGGAAATCTTTTTTTACTGGCCCAAACTTCGCTTAGCCAAATTGGTTTAAAGTTCATAGAACCTCAAAAGAACAATATTGCCGTAGCTTGTAGCCTATTACCATCTTCTTAGCCATCACTCTCACTTAATGTGACTGTCTGTGGTTGTCTTATTTTCATCATACACAAGAGCCAACTTGGTCTCTCCTGCTAAATGATTGTGGAGAAAACAGATATTACTATCCAAGTCACAGACGTAAAAATCTTTCTTATGACTTTTACATTACTGATCATGAAGGTTGCATTTTCAATATCAGAATAAACAAGGCCTTTTTCTCCCTCTCCCTAAAAGTAGTAGCTAAGTACTATAGGTTTAGGATATCTTTACATTTTACTTGAAGAAACTGAAAATGTCTATATAAATAGAAGGAAAATGAAGCTATATCATATTCACTTGCTGATTAAAAAATTTGACATTTTTTCGCATGTCCTTGATCATAAGAACATCGAATGGCCATACTGAGACAGACCAAAGGTCCATCTAGCCCAGTCACCCATCTGCCGACAGTGGTCAATGCCAGATGCCCCAGAGGGAGGGATCACAACAGGTAATCCTCAGTGATCCCTCCCGTGTCACCTATCTCCAGAGAAACAGAGGCTAGGGACACCATTCTTACCCATAGCTAATAGCTATCCATGGACCTAACCTCCATGAATCTGTCTAGCTCTTTTTTGAACCCTGTTGAAGTTCTAGCCTTCACCGCATTCTCTGGCAAGGAGTTCCACAGGTTGACTGTGCACTGAGTGAAGAAAAACTTCCTTTTGTTTGTTTTAAACCTGGTGCCTATTAATTTCATTTGGTGACCCCTAGTTCTTATATTGTGGGAATAAGTAAAAAACTTTTCCTTATTCACCTTTTCCACACCAGTCATTATTTTATAGATCTCTGATCAGATTTTGCCTCATGTGCCTTTCATTTAAATATGGAGAGGGGTGTAAACTGTAATGCAAAAACAACGTTTAGATGTCAAACTTATGACCCATGGTTATACTTTGCAAATTAACAAAGAGCTGTGAATTCAAAACTTGGAGAATGACAGATTATACTCATAGATACTGGAGTCAACAGATTTTCGCAAACGAGATTGTCATTGAAGCTTGGAGACTTCACACGCACAATGTTTTTAATTTATCACAGGGTTTATCACACACCTATTGAAGGCACACATCTGTATATATAAAGGGAATGGTAAGCAAAAGAGTTTAAGATTTTCAAAGGCTAGGAGAAACGGACACTGAGCTACCATTCAATTTCAACAGGATTCTTCTTCTGAGGTTCCTTCAGAAGTGCCAAACATAGGTCATTTTGTCATTGACTGTGAACTTGCTTTTTGCATAACATTTCTTGATGCAGTTAATTGTTCAATTACTTTTTTTTAAATGTCTTTTTCATAGGCAGTGACCTGGGAGACTATATTGACTATGACCCAAATCTTTTAGATGATCCTCAGTGGCCGTGTGGCAAGCACAAGAGGGTTTTAATATTCCCTTCATATATGGTGAGTAACACTTGATAATAGGGTAGTTAGTAGATGCATTCTGGTCATATGTGTAAGGACTTTGAAATCTCATTTGGTCCTGCTTAAAACCATCACAAACTGTTTATATCTCCTAATAGCAGCAATTTAGAACCCCTTGTTTTAAATGACAAGAGACATGTAAAAGTAGGTCAGTGTGGGTGTTATAAAAGTAAAAGCTTTTATTACTGCTTAATTCATGGGCATTTTAGATGAAAGTCTTGTTGGTTAATAATGCATTTATTCTATTCCCTCTTCCACTGTGTGTTACTTTCATTTCCTCTCCTTGAGACTTATTTCTCATGTAGATGTGATATCTGTTGTTGTTAGTTTTGTATGATGCGACACATACAGCAATGTGGTTTTTTATGCCTGTCATCACTCGGACAGAACTCTGGCCTCCAACAGGTTGTTTACATTCTTTGAAGGTGTTTTATAGACTGCTGTCTGTTTTGGCATGGGTTGCTTTTGTAATCTCAGACCTAGAAGGAAAGTCCCATCACTAGTATAAGCCATGTATTTTTCATGATGTCCAAAGCTGTAACAATTCAGGCTCATAATTCTGCCCATCTCAGTATTTTATAGGAGAAGAATGATGTTTCTGCAGCCTTCCATTTATTTTCAAATTGCATCAAGTTTGCATTATCCTTCCTAGAATTTGGTACACATCTTTTGGTCCGGGGGTGGAGGGCAGAAGTAGTCTTGCAAGGAGCATTTCATAAGAGCATTTGTGCACATGCACAGTGAATCCAAAGAAGGTGAGAAAATAGGGGATAAAAGGGAGAACCCACCCCCTCTAAAAGTCTTGTTTACATTTATAACTGTATATACAGATGGATCTATATGGTTTAAAATTTTGGAAAAATTGGTACATAGCAGAAAGCAAATGATTCAACAGATCTTGTTGATACTAGTATAAGAGCAGCTAAACCTATCCTGCATACATTTTCTTTTATTCCCCTATCAGTCTTCATTTGATAGACAGGATACAAGTGTTCTCTTTCCAACCATTATTTCTTCAAACTACAGTAACATGTTGTGTGCTCCAATCAGAAGTAAATTCTGCTCCTCAGTGCCAGAAGTTTTCTAGTTATTGCATAGAATAATTTGATTTAATTCTGCTGATCTTTTTGGTGATACACCTGTCTCTTTAAGGGACACACATAAAATCTCTTCTGCTTTACTTCCTGCTAATTTCATTCTAGGAGCTTTAGAGGTATTTTGGCTTGCACCTCGTGTCTGGGGAAAATACTCTTTTGAGATTGTTAATGCCCCCTATCGTCCTTCAGGAAAACAAGTTTCTCTCAACCAAAAGATCATTAAGCCATTGCTCAAGAAATCTTCCATGGAAACTGACTAGCCAAGTCATTTCTTTGTCTCTAACTTTCCCCATATGGATAAGGATATTGGGAAGTCTGGAGCAAGGCAGCTTTTGTTTGACCTAGAATCCTCTGACTTATTTTTTCTTGATCTCTTTTCAGTCTGGCTTTGTCACAGATATAGCAGGGAGGATGCTTTAATTTCCTTTGCGGTTGAATTTTGTCTAGCAATGGACAGAGATCAGATGTTGATTCTTAGTCTTTCTGACTTGTTATACATCTTCACTTGTGCTGGCCACAAGATTTTGCTGTACACCTGTGGGCTTGAGTTAGGACAGATGGCATTAGCTGGGTTTTTTCAGTCTTCTATAGAGATTACAGATTTTAAGGCCAGAAGGGAGGAGTAGATCATCTAGTCCAAGGGCAGGCAAAATACAGCCCATAGGCTGGTGTCGGGACCCTTTGGCAGCCCAGCGGAACCCTTTGGCAGTCTCCCTTCCTGCCTCAGCCCCACAAGCTGCTCAAAGCAAGCTGCATCCCTTAGGGAAACAGGGTCTCTGTGCTCTGCCCCAGCTCTGAGCACCTTCCTTGCAGCCTCTCATTGGCTGGAAACTAGCCAGTGGGCACTGCAAGGGTAGTGCTTGTGAGCACATGCAGCATGCAGAGATCCAGTGCCTCCCTCCCCTAAGGGGCACACTGCACAGAGACACACATGCTGGCCCCAGCACCCGGCTGCTTTGAGCGTTGTGTGGGGCCATGTCAGGAAGCATGCCCAAGGGGTCCTGCTAGGCTACCAGCTGGGAGCCTCCTATGGTAAGTAGTTCTGGGCCAGAGCCTGCAGCTGGCACATTACCCCCTCCTGCATCCCAATCCCTAACCTGGGCTCCCTTCTGCACCCAAACCATCCCAGGCCCTGCACCTCTGCCATTAATATTGTAGAAAAGTGCTGTCCTTGCCAAATTCTTGGAGTGGCTCCTCCATCAAAAATTATTGAACAGACCATAGAATTTTACTCCATTATCCTTATATGGAGCCCAATAACTTGTGTTAGGCTAAAACAGATCTTCCTGAAAAGCATCCAGTTTTAATTTGAAGACATCAAGAGATAGAGAATCCATGGCTTCCCTTGGTAATTTGTTCCAGTGAATAATCATCCTCGCTGTTAAAAACCAATGCTTTTTTTCTAATTGAATTGGTCTAGCTTTAACTTCCAGGCACTGGTTCTTACACTTTTCTCCATTAGAGTAAAGAAGCATTTAATCACCAGTATTTTCTAGCTGTGAAGGTACCAAAATATCTATCCGTCATAATCAAGTCACTTGCCAATCTTTTTATTCATAAGCTAAACAGCAAAGGGTGATATTGGTCAGAGTTCTGCAAGTATTCTGACATCTGCTGCTCAGCATTTGTGAAGCCACTGCGTGAAATAAGGAAACAGTCTGGCTATAATATAGCATGCAGCTGATATGCAGCTCTTAGTCTCTTCAAGAAACCAAGAATGAGCAGTGTTTTATCTCACAGTGCTTGGCAGAAATATAGACTTAATGAGGCTGAAGCCCATTTCAGACAAGAAAGAGGTGATGCCAAGTGATGCATGTACAATTATTTTTAGAGGGAATTCACCTAATTCATGTCCAGGAGGCTCACAAATTCAGTAATGCTAGTACGGCCACCCAAAAGTGTCTTTCAACACAACTCTAGGTGCTGTTGATTGAAACTGTTTACCTAATGACCGTGCCACAATTGTCTGTGCTTTTGTGAATGCCAAATCAATAAGCAGGATTACTGCAGGGCTCTTTGTATGGTGTTAGCACTGAAGACTTTTTAGTTGCAGAGACTTCAGCTCCTTGCTTGGCAGTAGGCACTGAACAATGCGAATCATACCAGTTTTGTGAAGACAGCGTTTGCTTTCTACTCGCAGCTAAGCTTAATTTGTGACATTTATTCTGATATGTAAAGCCTTCCAAATTTGAGACCTGGGTACTAAAGAGACTGACATGGCCTCGCAATACATTGCTGGAGCACTCAGGCAGGATTCCTACCTTTATTTAAAGGTCAGACACCAAGGCATTGTCAGGAGAAAGTTGATTTTTTTTTTATTCTCCTCCTGGCATCCCTCTGTCATCTCCTCTTCCCCCACCATTCAAAGGTCTATGTGAGAAACAGGACTGGTGATGAAAAGGGTCTATGTTTATTGGTGTAGTGGTAAAAAAGAAGAGGGTAACTTAGCCTAAAGTAAATGTCAGATTGCCCAAATGAGAAGTGGATAAACTTATTTTTCTCAGGTATCAAAGGGATAGCCGTGTTTGTCTGAATTTACAAAAACAACGAGAAGTCCTGTGGCACCTTATAGACTAACGGATTAATTGGTGCTCATGCTGTTAGTCTATAAGGTGCCACAGGACTTCTCATTATTTTTCTCAGGTTTACCCTCAACTACACTACTTCCTAGGCTCCATACCATAGCCCCTTTCTCCTCTCCTTCCAGCAAGTCAAAAGACTGCTGGAAAAAGAGTACAGGCAGTCCCCGGGTTACATACAAGATAGGGACTCTAGGTTTGTTCTTAAGTTGAATTTGTATGTAAGTCGGAACTGGTACATATTGTAGGGGAAACTCTAGCCAAACATTTCTCCAGAGCTCAGTTTTATTCTCCCACACCTCACTTCCCTCAGGCCTTTATTCTCAAGCCACTCCGCGTCTCCCTGGTCTGCTGGGGGGAAGCAGCTAGTATGGGGCTGCCTCACCCCATTTGTAAGTAGGGATCTGATGTAAGTCGGATCCATGTAACCCGGGGACTGCCTGTAGAGAGGCTGACTGCACACCAGCTTGATAGGAAGGAAAATGTGATCGTCTCCTCGGGGGCTCCGTATGTCTCTCTTTCTCTCTCTCTTTCTCCCTATGCACTTTATGTAGCTGCTGTTTTCTGCAAACAGCCTGTGCTACACCCCAGATCCTGCTGGCTCTACCCCCTGTTCATGATGGTAGGAGCCAAGGTTCCCACCTTCAGCTGACATTGGAGGGTTCCAAACATCTAAAAGGAACATTGGAATAACATCAGGAGGAACAGCTTTGACCATTACTCACCTTAACCATAGAGGGTGGGTTTTTATTAAAGTGATGTCAGTGACCTTAAACTGCTCTTAAGCTAGGAAACAAGCATTAGAACTCTTAATTCAGAACCAGAGTATTGCAAGCTGATGGCATTTTGCTAGGTGGAATACTGGGCAAAATATATCCTGTTATATGGACCAATTATATTAGAATCCACATTGACATTCAGATTGTGCCATCTTGTAAACACAGCTCAGACTTAAATATCTGTAGCACGGGTCCCTACATGCTTCTGTAACTTTACTCACATGAGCAGCCCCACATAGGTCAATGGGACTACTCAGATGGGCAAAGTTATGCATTCCAAAACCATTCCCAAAACTCTTGTTTTTTGTTACATGCTATTTTATAATGTCATAACAGGATAGCTCCATTTTAGAACAAAACAGCAGAAGTTAACTAATAGTATCTCTGAAGGGTATTCAGCCTGAATTGAGAATGTGCTTCTCTAATTGATGTTGGTTTCATCTTCCTCATAATTTCCTTCTTTGTTCTGGATTTTCAGAACACTGGCTTCGCCCGAGAGAGAGAGAGAGAGTAGCTACTAAAGA